TGAAACAGGAAAAAGCACAAAATAGTAGTAGTGTACTAACACAAGTGGAGAAAACCAGATGTTCTTAATTACAAAATTACAGAGTGTTTTTCTGAAATCTGAGAGCAATACAAAAATTTTTTCGTTTGCAAAATGTCAATCAGTTGTCTCAGACTTTATTGTTCATTTATTTCCAAACTAATCATTCTTTGTTTTCATTCTTTTTCCTTTGATCTTCTTAACTTTCTGCATCCAGGCATCTCACTTTCGATTGTCAATGTATATTATTTATATCTGTCGACCTATACCACGACATATTTAAAATGAAGTCATATAAAGTAGGGATGGTTTTTTCTTAGAAACTGATTAACCGGTGAAATAAAATTCATTTTAACATATGGATGATTGCATAATCAAGGCATTTAGTTAAAACTAATGAAATATGCGAGAATTTTATAAGAAATTAAAGTAGATAGAGTATTTAATTTAAAAATCTTATTTAACAGTAGTAATGAGAGGCAACATTGTATTTTCATGTACAAATGTCAGATACAAAGCGTTTAATGTTAAGGGTCACTGTAAATATCAGCATAAGTGCCGCTGACTACTTGTGGATTATTTTTAAAAATTTCTTTTAACATATAGGTAAGTAAATTGAATTGCTAAACGAAAGTTTATGAGTTGTTCTACTCTAGTATTTGGGTGAAAAAATAATCGAAACAACACTTTTTATGAGACGGGGAAGTGAACCAATATATTATTCACTTGATATTGTTTTATTTGAATCTTCCCATTGATGTTTTAGGACTGAAGTTGATCAGTCTCTTATTGGCATATGTGCATACTGTGCGTATGCTTCGATATTGCCTTAATTTACAAACATTATAAGCAGAGATGGATAGTGGCTAGCAGTGGAATCCAGGACGCGCGTTTCGTCCTGTTTGGGACTCGTCGGCTGGATGTACCTGCATCGCAGAGTTGATGTTCACTCTGGGACTCGAACTCAGTACCGTTCGCTTCAAACGCCATCGCGTTATCCACTTAGCTACTGAGTATTGATAGCCACTTGCTTGTGCAATGAAGTGAAGTTTAATTCACTTGATATCGTTTTATTTGAATCTTCTCATTGATGTTTTAGGACTGAAGTTGATCAGTGAATTAAACTTCACCCCATCGCACAAGCAAGTGGCTATCAGGACTCAGTAGCTAAGTGGATAACGCGATGGCGTTTGAAGCGAACGGTACTGAGTTCGAGTCCCAGAGTGAACATCAACTCTAAGATGCAGGTACATCCAGCTGACGAGTCCCAAACAGGACGAAACGCGCGTCCTGGATTCCACTGCTAGCCACTATCCATCTCTGCTCAATATATTATTATTTAGTAACTTTCAATCACCTTCACAACTGCATATCATTAGAGTTTAGTTTCATTTATCACAAGGTAAAAATTATAGATAATATGGAAATTATGATATTTCAAATGTAACTATGTACAATTTCTGTTGAAGCTTAATTATTTAGTGAAAACAGAACAATCAAAGAGCCATTAGAATGTGCTATGGATAGTTCTAAAAGTCACATCTATCGTTTTATATCTACCGTTAGTTATTTGTTATCACGGCATTTTCCATTTCATTTCTTTCTTTTACTTTGTTATCAATTGGTTTACAATGAAAAATATTGATGAAAATAAAAGATTTAAAACAGTTAAACAGTAGGTGTCCGAAGTAATTTTTGTCTCCATATCTCATTCACTTTTAATAGTCTCATTTAATCTACGAGACAAAAACTAACGAAATCCTCCAACCTTAAGATATGCATGATCAGCACAAATTAATCACCAATTCCTTTTTAATTTGTATATATATTTCAAATCAAGACTGTATGAAACACCTAAATCAGTGTTATAGTAAACCTTTTCCCCAACAACAACAACAAAGATAATTATTTCACCGAATGTATTTGCGTTTTGTTTTATTCCCATATGAAAGAGTAAAAAGGCGACATATGAACAATCAGTAATAGTAAATAATAACAAATTAATGAATAAAAAATCTATCCATTACAATTGAGTCTACATATATATAAACTTTTGAAAAGCTTGAGCAATTGTCTTCTGTTTGTTTGTTATTAATTAATGTATGAAATCAATGGGAAATAAGTATGAAACATGCCAAAAGACTATTCTTAAATAACAAAACATAGTAGTCTGATAAAATATAAGTTTCTATAAGTGAGAGTAGAAAATTGTTCTCTTAATTCTCAAGCAAATAAGAATTTATAAATACTTAGTTATAAGAGAATTTCTAACACGTTATACATAACTCTGAACAGTATAATAAATACAAATTATTGATACAGTGAGGGTTCAATTGTAAAATGTAATATGAGTTAGAATGTAAACTTCAAACTGGTAAAATATTGAATTCACTTGATATTGTTTTACTGAAATTCACCATTCTCTTATTGGCATATCTGCATACTGTGAGTATTGTCTCGATATTGGCTATCAAAATTCAGTAGCTAAATGAATGACGCCATGGCGTTTGAAGCGAACGGTATTGGATTCGAGTCCTAGAGTAAACATCAACTCTGAGATGCAGGTACATCCACATGACGAGAGCCAAATAGGATGAAACGTGCGTCCTGGATTTCACTGCTAACCACTATCCATCTTTGCTTATTGTAATATATAAATTCTGTGATCGATAAATCAAGGGAAGGATAATTATAATTCATTATAGGTGATCAGATAATAGAACATCTACAATAATGAATGAATTAAAATGCAGTAAGATTTGTATATTACTGGCTCCATGATATTTTAGTTTTCATAAACACGAAAAAAATTATTCTTTTATGTGATTACCTTTTAACCGGTTTATAAACAACATGAAAATTTGTTTTGTTTTTTAAACAAACGATTCACGCAGAAATATTGAAGATAAAGTAAAATATTGAATAAAAACATTATCATGAAAGTATCTACTATACAGTCGATAAATACATTCTGAATGACACATAAAATTAAGATGATTGGATTCTAAGCTAAAGCACCGGATTCGATAGTCTAACCATAGTGCTAACTTTTAATCAATGTTCCCTGATGCTCTGTTGATATGAATACAACTTATCTAATATATTTGATGGTTTCATGGAGTTCATTGGTTTTATTTACAAACTATAAAGCCATATCATCAGAAAACAGTATATATGTTCTTGAAATAAGATATTGTTGTATATCTATCAGCTATATTAAAAAAATAGGTTTATTGTGAATGAAATACTCTTTGTTTATGAAATTGTCTCAGGGGGGAAATTAACTGATTAGGAAGATAGTAAAATTACTCCTATGGCAATTTTCAAAGAAATACCTAATTGAAATGAATTTTTTATTGATCAAAAGTGACCTCTCAATTTCAAGTGTTTACAAAATACAACTTACAACAAATGATATGTCACTCTCTAGTTAATATGATTTACTTATTCCACATTCGATAATGCATAATCTTATACTAAAGACAGGTATTTTACAGATATTCATTGATTTATTAGGAATAATCATATAAATATACAATGTGTATGTAACGAAACACGTAGATATCTCATTGTGATTTTAATCATAGAACCGATCATACCAATTCTAAAAGTTATCATTCCAACTTAGTAATTGACGTTTAGTATTATAATGCACATTAAAGGTAGTTAACTGTGACATTCATTATCTTATATCCTAAACAGTATAGATTAGATTGAAATATTTATGTAGATAACATTCAGTTCTACTAGCGTATAAAGCTTGTAACTTCAGGCAATATTAAGGTGGTCTGCACACGATGCACATATGCCAATAAGAGACTGATTAATCGCAGTCTTAAATAACAATAGGATGATACAAGTAAACAACACCAAGTGCATCTAATGTATGTTGGTTTTATTATTTTACTCTAAGTTATTGTATGTTATAAAAGATTCATATTATGACATTGAAATTTATTTGGTACATGAGACTGTAATATTTCTATGACAATGAACCATTAACTATTGAGTAATAATGTTCAGTCAGTACAAAACAATATAACTTAACATCTTGAATAATGTAGTCTTGTGTTTTGAAAGTAAATAAGTAAAATTACATACATGGAAAATCGTGAAAATCGTTATCACAAAAATTGGTTTATCCTCCCTATCTTTTTAATCAAAAGTAGATTAATTCAAATAATGAATTTCTATGTTGCTTTTAATTTTTTCTGTGTGGTTTAGTATATTTAGACTTTGTAAGGAATCATTTTTTATGTTCACTTCTTAAGTAACTTTGAACACAATATACTGAGAGCTCAGTTATTTTAAAATGGGAATTATTATATCAAATACAATTAGTAGAATGTCAGTAGAAACTTCTACATTGACATATTTAAAGGTGAAATTCCTACACATTTCAGCCTATTTCAAATTGATGGTACATTCACTAAAACTTCTTATTTTAATAAAGTTATTCTTTTACTTCCAGTGAGTTACTCTAAGAGTTTGTTAGTATAACACAAACAACTTCGAGTTGTTTAGGGCTACTGTAGTGAACAAGAACACGAGTAGGGGACAATCGAATGCATTTCAACATAAATTACAGAACATTTTAGTAAAATCTTAGAATCATACAGTAAGTACTTAATTTGCAAAATGTCAATCAACTGTCTAGATTTTGACTGATCCTTTTGCAAGTATCATTCCATCGTTTCACATTTCATTGTTTCTTCATTTTCATACCAATCGCTTTACGTTCATGTTCTTTCCTTCTCGATCTTCTACTGAAATGCAATCTATTCCTGACCATAATTATATACTACTTATGTGAATATAAGCAGCTCACACCAAACTGTCGTATTGTAGTATATATATATATATATATATATATATATATATATCGATTAATTCTTAATTATTTTCCACTAGTTTATTACATTTGAATTAGATTCATGTATACTTTAAACAACTTCATTATGACTTTTATATTTTTATTATAGGTGAAGTTGATCCAGTCTATCATTTGTTAAGATGTGCTGCAAGTAAAAGTCAAACTACAGCTGTAGCTACAACTGGTATAATGAATTCTAGAATTAATGCTAAAACAAAATCCTCTGTACCTGATACATCTATAACAAGTAAGTTAATTGTCATTAGCTGACAATTACTCAAATGGTTTAAATATTGTGTTATTTTTTTTTATATTTTGGTAACTGTTTCGTAATGTGTGGATAATGTGAAACCTAGTTTCTAGTTATGCTCTTTTATGTAGAACTACACGATTTATTTTGCATATGATCTTTCATATAATCTTTGCTGATCAAGAGAATCTTTATGTATGTTGGAATTATTTCAATTTGATAATGCAATGAAAAAACAGTTGAAAATGTTTCTTTCCCATGTTCTGAATGTCAACAAAGTTTTTATTATCTGTAACAGACTATTTTGAAGCTGTTGAAATTATCAAAAGTTATTGAATTCGCGTTTACAGCTGTTATACACTATTCATACAAACAGAAAAGATAAAACTCCTCGTTTATATTACTCGGAAATCTAGGTTCTTTGAGTACTTATTTATTCATTTGTCTTAAATATTTATTTTTTTATGTTAAGTTGAGCTATGGCTTTACCTAATCGTTATTTGTAAGCATGGAAAACACATTTGGGGGAAGGGAAATACCTGTGTTAAAAGTCCTCTTTTTCAGAAGGTTGTTAGTTGAATACTCTCTGTATATATTTATTCATTTCAGACTAAACAAGCTTTTAACTATTTCAAAAAATAACTTATCAACTAGTCATAAATAAGAGTATTTTAGTATCATTTGTAATCGTTCGAAAGTAACTAAGTTTGAATCACAAGAAGAACAATAACTCATAAATCTAATCGAGTGCCAAACAGTACGAAACGAACATTCTGGATTCCATTACTAGTTAAGTTTCATTTATTCCCTATAAAAAGGATACTTTGTAAATAGAAAACTAAATATGCCAGGTACGTATAGATTTTATCCGTGTTGAAAAGAACATACATAATCCGATTTATCAGCTTGTTTCTCATAGAATTTGTCCTCGTCTGCGTGTTTTATATAAATTATGTGATAGAATGAATTTTATTAATTCGTTTGAAAAGATCTATTTCTGTTGAGTAACGGTTTTTAACAAAGAAAAAGTATAAGAAGTCATCACCTAAATATGTATTATATGACCAATAATCAAAAACATACAGCAAATGAATAAATTGTTCTTTAGTCAGTAAAACAGAATAATTGTTTAAATTCACTTGGTATTGTTTGCTTTAATCTTCCCATTGTTATTTGGTACTACAATTGATCGTCTTATGTCGGCATATATGAATCCTGTGCGGAATACTTCAATATTGACTTAATTCAAAGCTTTATAAGCAAAGATGAATAGTGGCTAGCAGTGGAATCCAGGACGCGCATTCCGTTTCATTTGGGACTCGTCTGTTGGATGTACCTGCATCTCAGAGTTCAGGTTCACTCAGGAACTCAAACCCAGTACCGTTCGCTTCAAACGCTAGTGCGTTATCTATTTGGCCAGTGAAAAGATACAAGCAAACAATAACAAGTAAATCTAAACTTCATTCCATTGCACAAGCAAGTGGCTATCAGGAGTCAGTAGCGAAGTGGATAATGTGATGGCGTTTGAAGCGAATGTTACTGAGTCCGATTCCGTGAATGAACATCAATTCTGGGATGCAGGTACATCCAGCTGACGAATCCCAAATAGGACGAACTATGTGTCCTTGATTCCACTGCTAGCCACTATCCATCTTTGCTCATAATGAATGTAATTGTCTGTTTTTTATGTTGTCCATAAGTTATTAAAATTTAATACATTTCATTACTACGGATAACAGCGACTAAGAAATCTCAGTGCAAATAAATGGTGCACACTGTTCAAAAAAATGCTAAGTAAATTTACTTTATGTGCAGAACAGGCTAGTTGCATCTATGTAGTCAATACAGTTAAAATATAGATGAATGACTGAAGAATCATTACTAGTTGTCATTCTATAGTTTACATAATAATCACTCCACAATTTCAGTACTAAAATGAAAACTCTTTATTAGAAGTCCTTAAGCATTTAGGCGACCTACCCATCAAGTTCACTGACAACATTTATACTTTAGTTCCCTTAAAACTTGGAGAATTTGTTAGGGGAAAATGGACTTGTGCTTGGAACACTTGGTTTGCAATGAATATATCGCAGAATCCAACTAAATCAACTTCAGTTTGGTTAGTAAAGTATTAGAACTGTGCCGTCATTTCTGTTTTTCATCAATGATAATTTATCTATTTTGAGAGAGTATATAAGATGTGTGCCTTTGATATAAATGTATCGTTGTCTTTTATTGTTGTTTTCTTTGTAAAATCTGTGCTGGTATTATTGTTGTTTAACTTATTTTCTGTTGTTATTATTGTTGTCACCGTTTTTTATATACAACATATTATTTGTGTCCATTTGTTGTGTCATATCATTTTTCTTATCAATACAGAATCAGAGTTAACAAAGAAGTTCACAAATCGTTTAGATCGCAGTACATCACTGAAAAATAATACAAACCCATTTTATTGATTGGAGATTATCCTGTATGAATTCACCAACACTATGTACTACTCTTTTTATACCTTTAGCCTTTCACTATAACTTATCTTTATCTTTTTCTTCATTATTCAGTTATTCACTAACCTATCCACTATAGATATGCATGTACATGAAAACTTTCTCTCTCTATACATATATACATACTAATGCACGATTACATGATTTCTTCATTTTTCTATTACTTATTTTCTCTTTCTTTTTTCTACAAATGTTCGTCATCCGAACAAGCTTTCAATGATATATATGAACAATTAAAGTCATGTTGTATATTTTCGTTATTATCGTTATTCATGACAGCTGAACATAATTCAGTTATTCTTTGTTTGTATTCTGTGACATATTTGTTGTTTCTTTACTGTTGTTATTGATATATTAGTCATAGTAATCAGATCATACATCGTTACAATCTGAATATTAAAACAAGAAAACAAAACATATTCAATAATTTGTTGTTGTCCGTTATCACATTTTTTTTCTCATTTTATATATGTGTAACTTGCAAACCTATAATTACATTTATTAGTATTAATATAATGTAATAGTAGTATTAGCAGTAGTAGTATAAATACTGCAAAGGCAACAGAATATTTATTTTTCATATCAGTGTTATTATTAGTACAATCATAATTATAATTTATTATTGAGTTCATTATTGAAATTTATAAACAAACAATGTAAAGACATTATTATTTAGACATTAACACCGTTAGATGCCGGCTCAGTGGTCTAATGGTTAAGCGCTCGCGCACGAGACTGATAGGTTCTGGGTTCAAATCTCCCGGGGGTGTACGTTGCTGAGTCCCTTATTGGGACGAAATGGCCATCCAGTGCTTCCAGGTTTTTCATAGTGGTCTAGCTTCAATTGACTCATGAATTCGACCAGTGAAATTTCTGAAATCTCTACAAAACCCCTTTTGATAATATTAAGAAGTATTTATAATTTCCCACATTGCATTACTTTTATTATAAATAAATGGTTCAAAGATTATAGATGATAGGCAATAAAGTAAATTCATTTTGAAAAGAAAAAGAGAAGAAAAGAAGAAAATTTTCCTTTTATTCAAACAGCTCTATATCATATCTTGGATTACATAATTATCAGAAATTCCTTTGAAATATATATATATAATCAGAATAATTGTAATTTATGTCATATAATGTTACTTGAGATTAATTATACTCTCTAAGTCATATTTTATGATGATGGGTTATAAAAGATGAATGATAAGTGTAAATGAAGTATTAGGTTAAATAGTTGAATACTTTCATAGGGAATTGAATAAATCCAAACCTTAATGTATTCAATAATGACAATGTACTTTTACAGTTTTTCCTAACTAAGATATGAATACGATATCTTAGAGTTGTAATTTAATTTCCAACAAATAGGTAAAATTTAATTAATCTGGACTTTTATTTTATAAGTCGTTACTAATTGTATATTTAAATTTAGCTCTATAGTTTACAATGCCAGTATTTTCACCTGATGCGTAACTGTGAAGAAGGACTTGTATCGAGAATATTGTAATTCAGTAAGAATTTTGTTAACTTGTAAAACATTCAAAATATTTGTAGGTATTGAGATGGTGAAGATTTATAGCTCAGGTGGATGATTTTGGTGGAGTTTTGTTCTCTGAGCTGGATGGTTTGGTCGTTTGTACATATCAAAAATGAATTCACCCTTAGCTGAGCCAGTCTTTCTTATTTTATTAACTGAAATTTGTCTTGGTATTGCAGTTTTCAAAATTGTTAAAACATTGATAACTATAATTATTTCGATTATGATTAACATATTTAGAATCATTTTCAATTCCAAATATATATAAATTGAAGTGATTCAGTATAGGGATTTAGAATGACAACAGCTACTTATCAATTATTAGTTTAGCATGGACAGTTAAACGATCATCAAAATAGTCAAAAAGGTCTATGTAAGAATATGGATTCATTTTAAATTAGAAATCATAGATTAGATTTCAGATTAAATTTTACTTTCCAAGTTATGCCTTAAGCATATTGTGATGATTTGACATTAAGGTCATGAAAATTGATATAGTCGTTAAAGAAAATTAAGATTAATGCTTTAAAATTAGTTAAACTGAACTCTACCTTAATTAAAGTGTCGAAAGTGAGTTGGAGTAAAACGTTATTTCATAGGGAAATGAACATTGTGATCTGATAAAAAAAACAATTTATTTGTACAACAAAACCAAACAATTTTCAGTCACTTATTTCTCTTAGTCTCAGATTACTAAGCTTAGTAAGGTATTGGAATTTGGGTTGAAAGTGTTATGGCCAATTATCTCCAGAGGTATTTCATTTATTGTTCAGATTAATTTTAATATTCAAAACAACACAAATTTGTAACTTTACTGGGATTATCATTCGACTAAGCAGTACAATGTTTGTAAAATAAAAATGTTATAATATGATCAATAGAACCACTATCATTGATAAAACCCAGAAAAAATACTACAGTCTACTGTCAAAAACTGATCTATATAAGTC